GTCAGCACTGACCCACACGGACAGTCGTCCCGGCCGTCCTGCGCCCACCTGCCCCCGTCAAGCTCTCCCTCTCGCAGCCCTCAGCCCCGCCCAGCCCCTCACCTCGTGCTCAGTGATATTGATGAGTAGCTCCTGCTGCAGGAACTGCTCCAGGATGTACTTGGGGGCCATGTCCACCAAAGACTGCAGACAGAGTATATTTACACAGGGAGCTAGGGACACCTGACCAGGACTGAACCCAACCCAACATGAGACTGGACGGAGATTGCACCCAGGGGGCCAGAAGCACACCTCAGTCTCTGTGGGCAGCCCTGCCCCCTAGGACGACTAGCGCATAAACCAGAACAGCCCCGTCCCCACGGTGTCCACTCTGGTCCAGCCCTCACAGAGCCATGAGGCCTCGCTGCTCAAGACTGACAGGCCCCTGGACCACACAGCAGCCTCTTACTCCCGCCAGCCCGAGGACCACCAGGACACACTGTCTCCTCCCACCAGAACCAGGCAGGCGGCCCAGTCCCAGCTGTGTTACCCAGCTGGGGTGGGTGCCATGTGGGAGGAGGGGTCCCAGGGAGGGGGGCTGCGCGGAGGAGGGGCAGGCCGGCGCTCAGGTAGGGGGTCCAGGGGCGCAGGTGTGGGGAGAAGGTGCAGCGTATGGCAGGGCCATGGAGAGAGAGCTGTGGCGGCGGGTGGGATGGGGGTGGGGGGTGTACCCAGAGGACAGAGGTCAGGCAGGCAGCGGGGCCCTCCACCACACGCATGCCCACCTGCTTGGCCGAGGGCGTCATGCCCTGCTGGACCACGATGAGGGCACGCGTGATGTTCTCCTCTTGCATACGCTGGCAGTACACCTTGATGGTCTTGATGCCCACCTTGGGCTCCTCTGGGGACAGCACAGGGAGGTGCAGGTGAGACGCCACCCCTAGACCTGGAGGCTCAGGCCCCCAGGCTCCAGAGTGGCCTAAACCCCATCCTGAAGGAGACCCAGCCCCTCCAAGCTGGGGGATGCAGAGGGGAACGCTGGACCCGGGGAGGAGCACAGGCCGGACTGCGGGGCCATGTGTGCTGAGGACCCTTCATGCAGGGGGACACACGGGGGGGAGTCACCAGAACAGTGTGGACGTCACGATGGGAACATGGAGGGCGTGGGGGGGTCACAGGAGAACAAGGGGCAGGGGTCATGGTGGGAACACGGGGTGGGGGCGTGGAAAGCCAGGGGTGGAGTCACGGGTGGGAACAAGGGGTCAGGGGTGGGAGGGAAGGCTGGGGGTGGAGATCATGGTGGAACACGGGGTGCATGCTTCTCTGGGGGTGCAGACAGAAGGCTTTCCTCCATCAGAAGCCCGCAGCTGCACTCACACCTCACAGGAAACCAATGGTCCATGGACCTGGAGCCTCAGGACGAGCTTGGCTCCGTGGACAAAGCAGAAGGGGTGGGGCAGTGCTAACACCACGGGCAGAGTCCAGCAAAGGGAGGCCAGCTGGTGGCCCTGGGTGGGGACACTGCTGACCATGGGAAGACACCACAGGCCTGTCCAACCCATCTTTAAAGAGGACTTACTTACAGACCACTAGTACCATTAATGTCTAAAAACACTTAGTCAAACGTTTGCCTTAGAAACCAACACCCCTGTGGTATTCCACCTTCAGGGCAGATGACACAAATAACAAACTGCTACATGCCAGACTGGTCAGCTGTGCCGCTGGTCAGGCTTCGGGTGAGCAGCACAGGCCAGAACACGGAATCTCACTGCCAGGAAGGCAGAGAACCAGAGGCCAGTGCAAGACCACACCAGCCAGGGCGAATCTGCCAGCCAGCCAGTGCCCAGCAAGGCAGGCCGAATCAGCCAGCCAGGGCTGTGTCCTAGGCTTATTAGGAGAAACGGGGGGGAAGACATGCAAATAGAACCAAGAGCCTCAGAGCCCCTGCCTGGTGACAGGACAGGACCCTGGAGCCGGCTCAGAGGGGGGCCTGGCTGACACGAGGCAGTTCTGACTGGAAGCCTGTCTTCTGAGCGTGTCCTGCCCCTTCTCTGATGAAGCCTGTGACTGTGGGCTTCCGTGTGGCCTCCAGTTTACAGACGCCCAGCCGTGAGAGCTGGACGATCGGGTAGGCCGATGCCACCGATGCCAGATGGTCAGGAGGTGAGCACGTCTGACCTCGCACAACTGGCAGGCTGCTGCTGGCCCTGTCCCCTTGCGTAGTCCACAGAGGTCACCCCACACCCAACACACCATCTTTACAGAAGGTCCCACAGGACCACCCGGGCCACCACGGGGAGGGCTGGCATGGTCAGGCAGGCGGGAAGAGGTGCTCTCAGGGTGAGCTGGGCTCACGGAGCTGAGCTGGCTCCTTGACCAGAAGGCTGGACAACACTGAGGGTGGCAACAGGACAGGAGGGAGCAGAGAATTGGCTTCGAAGGCCCAAGGGAGGATGCTGCTGGGAGGACACAGGCCAGGAAGTCGGAGAGGGGAGG